CGGAGCTCTGCCGTTGATGTATTGAGAATCTAAGGGTACCCAAATACAGGAGAATAACCTATTAGATTTGGTCGTTTTATAGATTTTTTCTTTGACGTGAAATCCGTTTTGTTGTATGCTTTGGCCCTTTCCGTTTGGGCAGGAAACCATTTTAAGGGCCTCGCCACACCACTCTCGACCTGGGAAAATTTTCGGGAGTGCTCCCGGAAGTGAAAACCGCTCGGGAGTGCCTTTCGCCACACTACACTCTCGACCCGGCCGCCCTCAAAGTCTGAAAATGTCATTTGCCACATATGGACACGATCAACGTGAAGCAGTCTGGCAGAAGTCGTTTGTCCCGTCCGGCTGCACTCCCGAATCTGGGATGAAACTCGGAGGAGCGAAGGAGGTCTCTTGAAAAGAAAGCTTTGCAGGCGGTGAGTTCGGGAGTGCTCTCGGGAGCCACATTCTGACAGCTCCCGAATTCAATCTGACAGGTTGAACTGGGGAGCTGGTGTGGCGATGCTGGCCAAGTCGGGAGTAGTGTCACACCAATGTAGAAACATCATGAAATTCGACATATGTCAGGAAAATCTCGACATTCCCTCTTTCGACAGAAAACCCCTCTTCGCCACACAGCATGTAGAAGTGAAGAACTCACAAACCTGTGCACAAAAGAGACAAACTGGGGTGAAGATAGGACAAGCGTTGGCGTGTTCTCTTTTTCGACATTCGGGCAAGAATTCGACATCCCATCCGAGGACTGTTGAAAATGTGCAAGTTGCAGGCTGGGAAAAGAGCCCTTCTCGACAGGTGGTGTGGAAACCCTGTCCCTGACAGCTCCTGATTTTGTTTTGCATCTCGTATTTCGACATGGTGTGTGGCGAGGAGAGGACTGTTCAAAATGTGCAAGTTGCAGTCTGGGAAACGAGCCCTTCTCGACAGGAGGTGTCGAAACCCTTTCCCTGACAGCTCCTGACTTTTTTTTGCATCTCGGATTTCGACATGCTGTGTGGCGAGGAGAAAATGGGTCTCGCTCCACTACTCTTGACTCACGAAAATTTCGTGAGTCCTTCTAGAGCTGTCAGACGTGCAAAACTCTCGAAAAAAAAGTCTTGGCTCCACTTACTCTAGACGGGTTTGCTCCAGATGTAGTGGCGGAATGAGACGAGCTCTCTGACTGCACTAAAAGACAGCGCCGCCCTGTTCTGATGGTCGGGACACGAGGCGCACTCACGAAAAAAAATGGTCGGAGCGGGGGTACGAGGGAGGACACTGGAAAAGCATGTCGTCACAGGCTGTGCACTCTAGACACTTCGAGAGTGCCCTTCGAGAGTGCTTTCTGACAGCTCTCGAAGGGCGTTTTCGAGAGCACCTATCTAGAGTCAGTGGAGAGAGGCCTTACTCTCGAAATTTCGTAGTGGAGCGAGACCCAATGTCGAAAATGCAATTTTCGACATTGGTGTGGCGAGGCTCTTCGTTTACAAAACTACCCTACCCCCCAAGGGTTGATTTCTCAATTTATGGGCCTCGCTGCACTACTCTCTACATGCACAAAAAACAAACAAAAAAAACAAAAATCATGGCCGTGTATCTTTCCATATTATGGCGGAAGATTCCCTCTCGTTTTCCGCATTTCGAGAGTAGTGCGGCGAGGCCCTATGTGCCGGCGAGGCCATATGTGCCTTCTTTTTTTTTGTTTTTTTGGACATCATTACACCCTGAGACGGAGAAACTCTGACAGCTGTGTTTGGCTCTCTCACATCAAACTCTCTTCCTTCTTTGGGCAATGAACGCATCTGGCCATCCATGTCGTCCCTGTCCATTTTACAAATGGTGACCTCCTGTCCCCTCCCTATGTGCCTTCTTTTTTTTCGTTTTTTTAGACATCATTACACCCTGAAACGGAGGAACTCTGACAGCTGTGTTTGGCTCTCTCACATCAAACTCTCTTCCTTCTTTGGGCAATGAACGCATCTGGCCATCCATGTTTTCCCTGTCCATTTTACAAATGGTGACCTCCTGTCCCCTCACCACGGGAAGTATCCTTTTTCCACGGAGACATTCACTCCGACTGTGCCAGACGTAATAAAAAATAAGGAGAAAAGCTGTTTCTAGCGTTTTTTTTTCAGTTTTTTTATTTCTTGTTTCGAATTTATTAATGTCTTTTTTTCCTTTTTTTTTTAATGTCAAAATGGTGTCACACGGTTGCGTTTTCTAAACTTGGGCGGTGGGACTTCACCCCGGGAGTCGTGTGGCGAGGCCCTTCGCCACGGAATCAGGTCTACAAGCATCGGCACTACGGAGGCAGTGGGAGAGCTCCCGTCAGTGGTGGGAACGCTACTCGCTTGGTGTTTGCATGATTAGGGTAGGAAGCAAACTTAAACTGTATCCATGGAGATCTTGGCTCATTGAATGTTGATGCTATTGAAGATCCAAGGGTGCGTGGTGGGAAACCCGCCCAGGCGGTTATGGATTTTATTTGAGCTACTTTCGGAGTAGGGTTGTACGTTAATACTTACTACGGTCTTCCCCCGAACACAACGCACCCTCATTTTGAGTGCATCGGAGCGGAAACCTACCCTCTATACATTCATAATGAGGGTGCGTTGTGTTCGGGGGAAGACGGTAGGGTTGCATTTTAGTGTGTTATCTATTGGAAAATATGGCCTGAGAGGCTATCTGGTGTTTACGAGCAGCGACACTACGGAGGCAGTGGGAGATCTCGGGTTAGTTGTGGGAAAGCTACCCGCTTAGGGTAGGAAGCAAACTTGAACTGTATCCATGGTGATCTTGGTTCGCTGAATGTTGATGCTGTTGAAGATCTAAGGATGCGTGGTGGGAAACCCTTCTCGGTCGTTCAGGCTTCCTTGAGTTATAGATTAATACTTGCTCTCTTTTCTGTAAGATCTTAATAGATTAATACTTGTTCTCTTTCTTGTAAAATCTTAAAGCCAAGCTGGGTAAGACTCCCAGATAGACTAGCAGGAGAACAGTTGCATAGTTCCCTCTGAGTTGCAGTCATGGGATGCTGGACCCGGTTTCGGGTTGAGATGTTGAGGGATTCCCGGCCTCATTTGATTCCATATAATATAAGCTGCAACTTGGAAAAAAAACAAAAACAAAAAAAAAACGATCCGTAAACCGCTTTATCAGAAACCGCGTGGGGCCGAGCGAGTTGAACTTCCCGCTACGGTAGTTTTGTTTAGTTTCGTACACGCCACCACGTGGCGAGGCATCTATTCTTCCAATTTTTTTATTGACCTGTTTTGAGAACCTTGCATGTGTTCGCGGGGCGAGTTTCGATTATGGCCCTGGTTGCACTACTCGCCATCCGCCAAGATTTCGAATGCATCTGGCCAAAATGATGTCCACATGCAATCAAAATGTTGGCGGATGGCGAGTAGTGGGACGGGGCCCTATTTCACTGATTCCGCTTCCGGCTGCTGCTGATCCTCTGAGCGACTTGGGCTAGGGGATAAGAGCGGGAGCTCAAAAAAAAAAAAAAAAAAAAAAGAGCGGGCGCAGAAGCTAAGAGGCCTCTGGCTATCGCGGATGATGTCCAGGGCGGTGGCTGTGACGCTTACATTTGTAGCCATAGGTTAGGGGAGGTTGAGCGGCGATGATCTATCTCAGTTATCCTTCGAAGCGTAGTGGTCCTGTTAGCTGGAAGATCCACCTCCTTTTGTGTCCGTGTTCTTTTTCCACATCTTCTCGGAAAGACCGATCTGAAGGACAAGAGAGCCGCCAGACATCAACATGCGAGAGAGAACGACATCGGATCCCTGCCGGAGATTGCATTTTCCTCGGTGGCGCTTCGCCTGACCTCTGTGGTTGCGACAAGAGCGATTCGCTGCACGCACCGAGTGTCGTTAGAAGGGAACAGAGAGAGGAAGGTGAGATTCCTCTCGCTGCACGCACCGAGTGTCGTTAGAAGGGAACAGAGAGAGGAAGGAGCTCGAAACACATGATGGTTCGATTGTGAATATTGCTGGAAGAGTGAATTGGGAGCTTTGCATTTCATATTCTTAAGTTGTTTCATCCTCCTGCTCCTCCTTCTCCTCCCCCTCCTCCTCCTCATCATCATCATCATCAGCAGCAGCAGCATCGGCATCAGCAGCAGCAGCAGCATCAGTATTGTGAGACACACGCTGGTGACGGTGCCGTATTCGACCTTCTGGACTAAGACTTCAGAGCGTACTTGCGCTGGGATTACCGTTTTCATCTCGCGTGTTGCTTTTTTGCGGCAACAGGTCTATGTTTGCTTCATAGCATTCTTCCAGCACTTGCGGGGCAATCTGGCCGAGACTGTTCACAATCATCAGCACCAGCATCATCGTGTTCACCACCAAACAGCCCCCCCCCCCCCCCCCCCCCCCCCCCCCTTCAAACCTTTGTATTTGTCCGCCCGCAAACGAGGCCAGAAGTGTGGGAGGCCCTAAAACGGGCTTTCGCTTCACTTTTGCACCCTACCCTAGTCGTGGGCGGGTAACGCTAGTAGAGCCCGAGGTGCAGAAATGATGGGAAAGGTTTTCACAGGCGATACCGGAGTGCAAACACGACGCGAAAGTTCGTCTTAGTACCTCCGATGAAGCAGAGTATACGCCACCAGTACTCGCCCATACCATCACTAACGTCCACTATCGTTAATAGAATGCTTACGCTGTTTTCCCAGGCATTGTACAAGGAAGCCAGAGATCGCTGTGTGCCCGGTTGGCTCGCAATTGCTGCCCGTTCCGGCCTTGGTTATTCCTTCTTATCCGCCCGGTTGGCTCGCAAGTGCTGCCCGTTGCTGAGGTTATTCCACAGCTATTGACGGTCTTATTACAGCTGTCGAAGATTCCGTGCAGGAGACAGAGGACATCAGCAGGGCGAGTGAGAGGCATCCCAGCGGGATAATTGGTAGAAAGAGCCTTCGCCAAAACCTTTTCGGTTTTGGCCGCCCTATCCGCCCAGTTGGCTCGCAAGTGCTGCCCGTTGCTGAGGTTATTCCACAGCTATTGACGGTCTTATTACAGCTGTCGATGATTCCGTGCAGGAGACAGAGGACATCAGCAGGGCGAGTGAGAGGCATCCCAGCACTTACAGACTTCTTACGGCTGTCAGCTCCTCCTCCCGCCCTTCAAAACTGAAATTTTTAGTCGACATGCCTAACAGGGCTTCGCCATCTGAGGGGGTGATTGAACGTCGCCGGTTCACCACAGGTGTACTGGTAGGCGATGACTTCGACTTGGATCCAGTACGTGGCAGCTATAAGGATTTGCCGCCCCCTTCGGAAAGAGTCAAATGCCGGATTTATTGGCTGGTGCTGCTAGAGTACATAGAGACAAGACTGAGCTGGATCGTAGTCGGCGCGGGCATTCTCTGGGGAATAGGCGGACCGGACCAGGAAGCATGCATTATTTGCGTCAGCATTTTCGCCATTGAACTGACGTTGACACAGGCGTGGAAGGCTATTCAGCAAAACTACACAGGTGGTGTGGGGTGTTGTTACATAATTTTGCAGTTCGTGGGGGACAAGAGTCGCTGTAATAGCTATCTGGCGGCGGTGTGGCTCTTGCGTGTGACGGGACTAGCAACGGGAGTGTTTGCTGGGATGCTGGGTCGGCGCATTTGGCGCCCGCAATCGAGGGGATTTGATGACTCGTACGCCGTCTACTGTCTAGCCGCCCTTGGGCGGGTTCTTCTCTCCCTTATCATTCTCTTCCTCAATTCTTTTCGTCTCACACGTTCGTCGTTATTCTTAGGTTTCAAGAGCCTGCTTGCGAGCCTAGCACAGCAAGTAGGCTGTTGCGGATCCGCTTCTCGAACGCCAAGCGCATGGAAAGAGAACGGGGAGAACGTGAATAGATTGTTACCGGCCGTGGATGTCGAGGATCCATTAACTCCCTTCTCTTATTCGCAAGGTGTAAACAGATTATTATCACCATGCTTCGAGGAAGTGGAGGGTCTATCCGCTCTAGTCTGGTATTTTCATTCCAGTAAACATATTGAATTGCCTCCTTTGTGCGCCTATCTAACAGATCTGAGATGCGGAGAGCCCGGTGAGAGCTGCGGACTGCCTGGACATTGGTTCCTTGGACTGGAGGAGGTGCTCGAGCAGGCTTTATGTGCGGAGGAGGCTGAGAGGGCTTTTCGACCATTCGGCCAGGCCAATCAACTGAGTACTATGGAGCAGGAGATGGGCTTGGATGCACTGGGACATTACGCCGAAAGGCGGGACCGGCCCGTTTGCGACTTGATTGTCAGAAAGGGGTTGGGTGTGATGGAGCTTTGCAGCATCGCCACCACCCATAAGTCCGTTGGATGCCGAGAACGTGCGGCCAAGATCCTATCTTTCTTGTCAAACACTCTCACTACCGAGCGGATGGAGGGCAAACCCGATCCGTACGATCCGTTCAAGGACATGCCTGTCTCTTTCCAGGACAACGTGGGACTACATATGCTCAATTGTTTAGCGAGCAAGGCCTCGCCTGAGCTCCAGGAGAATGCTGCGGGCGCACTTTGCGGGGTCTCCGCGAGCTACGGCGTCTCACAAAGGCTGTTCTGCGGCGAACCGGGGAAAATTCTGATCGACCAGCTGGTCGACATAGCAGCAGGCGAAGGATTGACAGATACCACCCGTTGGTACGCCTTGCGGGTCTTGGTCATGGTTGCCGCTGGCGCCCTACCTTCCACCCATTCAGAGGGCGAGGAGCCAGACTTCTACTTCAACCGTGTAGAAGATGAAGTGTCCTGGATGCTGCCCGCTCGGCGCGCTTTTCGAGAGTCAAGAGCACTTCCGCGGTTGGTCGACTTGGCTCTGTCTCACCGGGCCTCTCCAGCTTGCAAATGGCAGTTAGCCCTTGTCTTCTTATCTTATGTACGGCTTGAAGCACCTCATCTTTCCCCTTCTGAAGTCGGCGAGCTGACTCGTCTCCTTCAACTCCGATTCGAACTACAGCCCCTCGCTGTAATCCACGTCCTCATGACACTCTGCGATTCTTTGGTGTGCCACTTCTCAGGTGACCGAGTCCCCGACGAAGAACCCAACCGCATCTCGGAGGTCGACGTCATCCGCAGTCTGATAACAAAGGAGGAAAGAAGGTTCTTCACCAACCTTGCTCGATTCCAACTCTTCATATCCAGAGAATTCGTGGCTAAGGAGCGCTCATGGTTGAAATTCATCTCCATCTTTCAGACGGACAATGGGACTCTTCCAACGCTGCTCTGGGCCTCCCGGAGCCCTGCTAGACTGCTGTCTTATCTCCTGACCAACCACTTCGACGTTCTAAGCAACGAGATTGACGAGGTCTACGAGGACGACCACAGAACCTCTCGCTGCGCTATAATAGAGGACGTACGATCACGGAAAGTGGCAGCTATGTCGGTGATAGCCTTGAGTTTGTCGGAGCTGATTGTCCAGGAAGAATCAAGGAAGACGAAGCTGAGTGCCTGCATAGCTCTCACTCGGTTAGCAGCTTACAGAGGCAACTGTCTCCTCCGCGATGTTGCCCTAGCCTGGAGATATCACCTCAGACACTCCGTTCACGACATCAGTTTGGAAAACGAGCCGGAGTTTCGGAAGCTGCGGGACCTCCTCGGGAACTACTCGCCCAGCTTTCGACTCGAATTGTGCGACACTGCGGGCAATGACTCGTTAAATTAAGTAAGGACGTCACTAGCATCGCAAATATACCTCTCTCTCTCTCTCTCTCTCTCTCTCTCTCTCTCTCTCTCTCTCTCTCTCTCTCTCTCTCTCTCTCTTTCGCGGTTCGCTCGCTCGCTTTTTCTTTTCTTTTTTCTTTTTTCTGTCTTCCTTTCTATCTTTTTCTTGTGCGCGCACGGGGAGGATGGGCCTGGGAAACGCCTTTCTCGCTTGGCCTTCAAGCTAATCTATATTCTTCTCTCTTTTTTTTCTATATTTTCCTCATCTATCTCATCCTCTCGCTACTCTATGTATATGTATATTAGGGGGGAACAGCAACCAACCCGGATCTCTCCCCAGACCAGCGGGCAGGTTTGCACCACAGGGGTGGCGCGAGAGCAAGGCTGTACCAGCCCCTCATCACGGTGATGTGGGGTGGGCAGGCGTTGCCTATAGGGGAAACCGACAGTACACGTGCCGAGCACTATGTCCAGCTCCCCCTTCTGCCCCCCGCTAATGACCAATATCGTTGTCTCATAGCACCCCAAGGTCCTGCCGATGCTGGCCTGGGGGGCTGACGGGCTATCTCTGGATGGTAGTACACCATGCCCAGGGATGAACCCACGACCTCCTGAGTGTGCCTTACCAACTGAGATCGGACGGTTTTTGCTTTCTTTCCTTCCGATGCCCTTACTGGACCTGCCGGCTTATAGCAGGATCAGTACTCACGCCCTGTACACGTCGAAGTACACGAACAGCTATATGTCTGTACGTTCAGCTGCGCATAGGCTGGGTCAACAGCGGGTTTGCTGTAGGATTCGAAAGTCATGCTTCCGATGGGATTTGTACTTCATGTGGACTGGGTCGTCTGAGGGGATTCGAACTTCCCTTTGTACGCGCAGCTACCGTCTTCCCCCGAACATAACGCACCGTAAAAATGAACGTATACAAGCTATATTGGGGGCCAGATACAGCCAAAATAAGGGTGCGTTGTGTTCGGGGGAAGACGGTAGTCGTGTGTACCATTCAACCACCTGGGTTGTAGACGGACGGTCTCGGAAGATTCGAGGTCATGCCCTTATACAGAAACAGCGAGATGCGACGCGTGCCCTGCGTACTAACAGCTAGGTGTGAGTGCCGTTCAGCCGCATGGGCTGGCTCGATGAACAGTTTCTTCCCGGTATACATATACTAACAGCTATTCAGATACGTCGGTTGGGTGCATGGGCACCTACATGTGTCGAACAAGTAGGTGTGTCCTCCATCCAGACACATGGGCTGAGTCGACAACCCGCATACTTCAGGAGAGGAGTTCATGGCCTGTATACTGACAGCTACATGGGTGTGGCACTCAGACATGGGCTAGGGTCCGACGGCTGGATTCTCACCTTATTCACATGGCTTTACTCTGGGGAAGTAGTGCTCACACCGCACTGGCGGGTGGGTGGGGCGTGTG